GGCTATTGGAGAGGTGGTCCGCCAGTGTCAGTGCACTCCTCTGGTCACGCTCGGTCTGCATCTCGCCTCGTGGCTGGGTCAATGGTTCTCGTGCGGTCGACAACTCACCTTTATGGGCCCAAATCCTTTCGCCGCGGCTCTCTCCATTCCCACTTGCGCTTATGGAAAAGGTCGGATGGGCAAAGGAAGAATGGCCACTGCTACTGCTGCTTCCCTCCGCATCGCTTGACCCGCCGTCACCCTGAGCAGTGCTACCTTCGCCCGACGTATCAGCGCCAGCCTCCCAGCATACATCCGGAAACCTCTCGCTTGCTCGAGAATACAAATCACGAAGGTCTTGTCGCCATTGCGTCGTGGCGTTGACCTGACAAAAGAGTGTTGAATATGGGGATAGGCCTGCCAATTCCGTTGCAGTCATACGGCTCTTTGCGGGAGCTGCCGAGTCGATACTGCCATCGCGGCGTGCAGCGTCGGCCATCTTGGAATTGACGTACTGCTCGCAAAGACGCGACTAAGGCACCCGTCGGATATGGCCCGCTGCTTGCTCAGATTTCATGAAGGAGTTGCACTTGACGCACTTCATGAGAGGAGGAATCTCATCTCTCGCAGAAAGCTCGAAGTGTTGATTGGAAAAGAGGTGCACGAAGATCGCTCAGCAGAGCCTGGGCAGCGGGAAAAAAAAGTAGGGCTGGGCTGAAGAGAAGCAGATTAGCGGCAGGAGCGAGGCTTGAATTGTGACCAGCGTGATCAGACAGATTTCGAGCGTGGATCGTCGAGAGAGATGATGGATGACCAGGAAGCATGCAAGGAAGGCGTGACAGTGCAGAGTGCGTGAGTCCGAGGTTTGACGGGACGCCAGAAGGAGGCGGGCCAAAGACGCGCCGGCGTGCGCGCGAGCCGAGAATGACACACATCTTCCCCACGCGGTGCGCATGCAGCGCATAGTTAGGCAATTGCGCGCGCAGGGGCTCATACCGCCACCATAGTTGCGCGCCCCACTCACACTCTGACTCCCGCAAGTCGTGCAACCGCGTCTGCACGCACGCACGCAGCAGCAGCATGCAGCCTGCCTGCCTGCCCTCGCTCACGATTCAGGTCTGCTACGCCTCCACGACTTGATCCTGAAATTTTCAGTAGTCGCTGAAGCTGTGCGCGCCATCTAAGCCACTGTACACTTCACACTCACTACCTCTAGGCATTCTGAAAAGTAACTTCAAAGGGCTCACATTCCATTCGGTCCAGCAGGCAGCTGTCACACGCTAAAGAGACCGACGCGCTCAAACCGCCCGGTCGCAACTCAAAGGACATCTACAAAGCCTACCACAGAAGTGGAGATCTCCCCTTGAGCCAAGCCATCATGGATTGTAAGTCCCTTCAAAGCTCGAGGTTGATTATAGAGGAGACGCTGCCTCGCATCGTATGCTGACCACGCTCTCCTTCTCTTTGGGCGCACAGTCTCCAGCTTTAGCGGCTCCGAGCAAGCTGCTATGCAGCAGATCATCGAGAAGAAGCAGATGAAGGACTTCATGAAGCTCTACACTGGTCTGGTAGAGCGATGCTTCGACAGCTGCTGCAACGACTTCACCAGCAAGGCCCTCAGCACCAAGGAAGTCAGTCGCCGCTCCTTCATTGTCGCTCGTTAAGCTTGCCTGTCACTAACAACGGCTGTGCACCTGCTTTGGCATACGATTCCCTCTGATCACCCTTTGCAGGAAGCCTGCGTGGCAAATTGCACACAGAAGTGGCTCAAACACTCTGAAAGGGTGGGCGCTCGCTTTCAGGAGGAGAATGCAAAGATGATGTCATCTGCTACTCAGGGAAAGTAAGGGGCAGCGCAGTCTTGGCTAGGGGGACGAAGGGAGCGCGGATGGGTATGAGGATCAGCAGCGGTCTGGCTGACTACGGAGAGGGAAAGCGCGCGTCGGTCGCTTGCTAGGTTGAAGCCGATTAGCGAATGTCGCTCGCATCTGCCGACGAGGTGCATCAAAGTGATGGTGCTACGAGCCAATGTATCACCATTCATCACTACAACACACATGCGACATCGGGTGAAGTATCCCAAGCTAGCGAAGCGTATCGCAAGGTGAGCGTGATGATTGTTCTCGCTGACTAACATGGTGGTCAATGTAGGTGCCCAGGGGCCGTAGTACGCGATCCATCAGCGTTCTCGCGTTGAGACGGCGCAACCTTAGCACCAAGAGGCCAAGATCGCGCTCGCCTTTGTTCACAGCCTGGAAGAAATGTACAGCGATGACATTGACAGATGCAAAGAGGAGACGAAAGCTGGAGATATGTGGCGCAAGCGTAGCAATTCTGACGGGCAAACAAGGATGACGCTGCTCCACTGCCACAGAGTGAGGAAATCAAAGCGGTGATCCTAAGGCGACCGGGGCAGCGGGTGCGAAATCTTGATCTGACCATTGTGAGGGTCAGTGGGCACCTTGCGGACCAGGCTTTGCGGATTGCGGAAGAGATTGGTAGGGTCCACTTCAGATTTGAGCTTTTCCAACCTTGGAATCGCATCGCCATAGTACAGACTTCTCCACTGATCTTCCGAAAGATTGGGGTCTACGTAGCACGAGTAGGAGCGTCGGTCCAGTCCAGCAGCTCGCATGCTTTCGGCAGCAACGTCATCCAACTTGTCCAGCATTTGCCGTGCGTCGTCCCCAAACTGCCCGAAGCCTGCTGTGCCGATGGAGGATTGCATGAGCCACAGTCCGTCTCGATGCGGGAAGGAGCTATCCCTGATGAGATCAGCATCTCTGTGCCTCGCATTCGCACCGCCAAACATTTCCATGTATAGGTTCCAACCCCAATTCCTGAACGGTCTCGCAGGATCTTCCCTGGACTTCATATCGTCCCACATTAGCTGCATAAGGGGCAGCAAGCTTTGGTGCGTGAAGCCCTTTTGACCCATACTGAGCGATGTCCTCGCAATAAAGCTGTTGTGCACCAGACGCTCCGCAAGAGTGTCTAGCTTATCGCCAGGAGATCCGAAGTCGTCCCATTCTTCCATGATGGTGATGTAGTCCATTTGCTTTTCCGTGACCATATCAGGTCGGGGAGCTTTGTGCGATGCTAGCTCTGCGAAGAGTCGCTCGACGTGCGGTTTGTACGTCTGCAGGTCGCCTGAGAACATGCCCCGCATGTGAATGGAAATCGTGCCGCCAGACGGATCACCGCCATTGGGACGCTGGAACTGCAAGTGGAAGCCGAGTTCCGCCGGTAATCGCTGGTCGAGAGAGAATACCTGCACTGCTTCCACTAGGCTCACAATGTCATCTGCTGACTTAATAGATGGAGACCAGCGGTACTCGATAAAGACCATCGGGCTGTCTACGTTGTACGTCTTGAACTCGAATGAAGTGACAATGCCAAAGAAAGAGCCAGCCCCCCGCAGACCCCACCACAGCTCTGGATTTGAAGTGGCAGAGACGTGCGTGCTGGTGCCGTTTGCCAAGACCACCTCTGCGCTCAAGATGTTGTCGGTCGCCATGCCCCATTTACGTGAAGTAGGTCCAAAGCCGCCGCAGAGCGCGTGCCCACCGGTGCCAACAGGTGGACAGGTTCCGTGGGGCATACCAGCCTTGCCCTGCTTCCACAGTTCCTTGACCACGTCGCCAAGGCGCGTACCAGGTCCAATCTGTGCTGTCTGCTTGCCTGCATCATAAACGACTTTGTCGAAAGCGCCCAGGTCAATAATCAGGCTGCCATCCTGACCTCCGCTCCCGAATCCGGCAAAGCTGTGACCTCCGCTCCGCGCGCTCACAGCCGTGTTGCCAGCTCGGGCTGCGCACCTGACAGCCTCTTCAACTCCGGCATGATCGCGAGGATATGCAATGGCAGAGGGATGGAAGTGGTATCTGAGGTTGTCGGACTGGGCGGCGTCCCAATAAGCATCTGTGCTGTTCGTCGTCGAAGAGGCGTAGGGAATGCTGGCACCTTCCAAGCATGAAGCCAGATTCCAATTCACTGCTCGTGCCACTCGATCTGGAGAGAGGACGCTGCGCTCGTACGGGTACGTGACGCCACTGCCTGGTGGCCAAGCTCCGAGCGCTCTGGCACGGTGAGATGCAGCAGGCGTGGCGGACGTCGAGAGCGAGAGGATTGCCTGGATGAGGAGGATGGCGGCCAGGTTCCGGATGGTGCAAAAAGACATGCCCTTGTCACTTCTCATACTCCACGACCCGCATTTGCAGGCGTCGGGCGACTTCGTATCCTGACTCTAGAACGCAAGGAGAGGTGAGCCTGGTCGCCCAGGGCGAAATGAGGCATTGGCGGTACTCACCCTCGCCATGCTGACTGCTGCTCCCCTCCCTTGATTTTGATTGATCGGACGGGTGTGTTTAGCGAAAGGTTGGAGATTGAGCCACTTTGAGGCGGATACTCTTCGAGCAGTGCTGCTAGCGTGTTGGGGCCGTGGGACTAGCTATCGATCGCAATAGCAGCGTGTTGTGGATACGTGGATACCAGATCCAGACGGGAAAAGGAAGCGCTGGTCACGAGCGTTTGGATATAGGGAGAGGTCTAGTACGATGCACACAAGCAGAATAGCAGCGATGAGTAGTCAGAGATGGTGTGAGATGTGTATGAATGAGTGAGGTGTAAATTGGCATCATCACAGACATGCGCCGTCCGAGTTCAAAGCCAAGGTAAGCAAGCATCCCGAAATCATCCATCATGCATGCAGTCACGAGTGTCCGCGCGTGCGTCCATCGATGGCGCTTATTCACGACTCGTGCTATACCATGCACTGACGCGCGCCTCTTTATGGCGCCGATATCAACCATATCTCGAGATGAGGGCACTCCGGCAGTCTTTTTGACCGCCCCCATTTCCCGACAGGCGCGGTCTGCAAGGCGTCCGGCATCATATGCTCGTGGGCGTAAAAAGGCCGCGTTTGGGTTTGCATTACATGCAGACGGCGCAATCAAAGCACACTCGTGACTCACAACATTCCGGAATCTGAATCAGAAGAAGTGCTGACTTGACTGACCCATACGATCCACCATTCACAGCATTGGCCAGTCGTGCAGATACATGATGACGGTTGCAGGCGTTGATACGGCTCACAAGAGAGCCCTGAAGCCGTCACATACATGTTCTCGTGACTCTTCCATTGTGGGTTCGTTGAAGTTGCTCTCATCTCAGCCCCGGGTCTTTGCGCTTGGGAGCTCACATCTTTACGCAGCATGCGCGCAAACGGTATCAGTGGTCATATGGAATGAGGAATGCTTGTCGAGGCGATTGAGCTATCAGGATACACGTTGGGAGGGTTCGTGTGGGCACGCGCGAGGCAGACCGCCTGTGCTAAGCTCACTCAAGAGGGCTGGAAGGAAGAATCGAGTGGAATGTCCAAAGGTATACTAGCTAGATGGCTCAAGCACCGCGCGCCGGACCAGCATGGCGGCCAATGCCTGCACCGCTGCCTAGCTGCCCCATCGTAGGTGGTTGTCTGCCGTGCAAGACGCCCGTACGGTTGCTGGGACTGGTGCCGAGAGCACCTCCGGCAGCTGGAGAAGGACTCGGCGTCCGGCCGATCGGTCCGCCCAATCCCAGTCCTAGACCAGCACCCCCACCAGGAATGTTCGTCACTCCACCAGACGGACCTTGCATCGAGTGTGGAGCGCCGTGCCGCTGCAGCGAGGCGAACGCTTTCTTTGGGCTTCCGCCGCCACCGTTTGCTGCCGACGCGACGTTACCGGGGCCGTGTCCGATGTGGCCAGTTTCTGATCCTCTTCTCGGCAACACAAATCCCGCATTGCCACCTAGAGCTGGGCCTGGGTGTCCTAAAGGTGGTGAGCCTGCAGGGGGGCCACCGGAAAGATACTGTGCAGAGCCGGGCCCACCTGGCGGTGGCGGAGCGCCAAAAGGCACATTTCGCGGGGGTGCATAACTGCCTGGCGGCCCTTGCTGTGGGCCAGGACCAGGAGGCCCATGGCCAGGCGGCGGAGGACCTCTATTATAGCCTCCGGGCCCAGCAGAATTTCCCGCTGGTGAGAATGCAGGCATTGGCGGAGGTGGTGCGTTCGAGAAGTGGACGTAGCGATTAGCTTGAGCAGCTGCATTGGCAGGTCCAGGGCCCGAATTCAACGTGAATTCTAGAGACACGCCTGGCTCGTGCTCGATGTCAAGCAAGTGCACCAGCTTCTTGCCCAGCCTGTTAACGAGATCGACATCATCTTTGTTACGAATCCAAAGGGTAATACGATCGCCTTTGCTCCGCGTGGAAACCACAGCACCCGTGATGTGATTGGCGTCATCTAGCTCTTCTCCTATGAGCGCCAAGACGAGCCACATCCAGCTACGATCAAGCAACGCGCCGCTAGTCCCACGCAGCGTCAGCACCCACTTGCCACCTGAGGCATTAGCTGGATCTTCCCACATCGGTTTGATGCCGCTCTTGAAGAGATGATAGTTGCAGTTGCGCTCGAGCTGCGAGGGTCGCCTGAGGGTTGCAAACACGTTCATGAAGCCCTCCACAGTCTTGTAGACACCGAGCATCTTCAGTGTGTCTTCCCAACTCTGGATGTTGGCCGTATTTGGCGTGGGCGGTAATGGCGAGATCGGATTCTCCGAGGCTCCAGGTAGCGCTGCACCCGGCGTGCCAGGGCCGTCCGCAGTGTGACCTGTAGCAAGCGTGCTAGCTTGTGAAGATGGGTTGAAGGTCTTGGAGTCGAAGTACAGGGTCCTGCAGAACGTGTGGCTCGGTGGTCAGCAATGGTCCACCAGGCGAGAGAGAGGACTGACGCAGTTCTGCGGGACTGAGCACGCCTTTCCTCGCTTGTACACATTTCCCGGACTCACCATTTGTGCTGCAGAGGATGGTCCTTTGGAGCTGCTTTGCTCGACGCCGCTTTCGCCGCTTCAGTCTCTGGCTTTGTCGAAGATGGTTCCGCCTTTGCCTTGCTCAAATCTTTTGTGTCTTCCGCGACACTGCTCGCTTTCGCTTCTGCTGACTTTGAAACGCTGTCACTTCCAACAGCAGCCGCCTTCGCAGGCTTCGATGCGCCTGCTGCTGGACCATCAACCCCCAGCGCGGTCTCCTCGCTCACTTCTTCGGTTGGTGAGCCGGACGGAGTCTCTCCCCTAGCTGCACCGCCGGCTGTCTGCAGACCCTTTTTGCTCATTCTCTCTCTAATCTCTTGTAGGCTTGGCAAACCTCTGGCGCTACCCCCGCTGCCGGAAGGGCGGACTGTCGCCGGGCGCTTAGTAGGCGAGCTCGATCTACTTGAACTGCTTGGAGGCTCCCCATGTGCCAGCATGGCTGGCACTCTCTCGTTGCTTCCTTCATCTGCAGAATGGACGTCCTGAACATCGTCACCAGGTGCAAGAGCAGCCGAAGAGCTGTTGAGTCGTCCGGTCAGGCCAAGACGACCTCGCGCCGGCGCGGCTGACGTGTGAGAATGAGAGTGCGAGAAATCAGCAACTGAAAAGAACATAAACCAGGCGACGCGTGACGCACCATCATTGGTAGAGTATGCGCTACTTGTGCCGCTTGTGGGCGCATCTAGCTTCATGCTGGGCGAGATCAGTGTACGGACCCCAAACGTCAGTTTGAAGAGCAATACCAGCAAAAAGAAACCAGCGCTGTCGCTACTTACTGCGCGGCGAGCTCGCTCAGCGTCGGCACACGCGATTTCGAAGAGGCATTTGAGCGTGCGGAGTTGTGGGAAGATGTGGACATGGCAGAGGTGGGTGTGAGACCAGCAGAAGATGTTGGTGCGTTCGCAGGGACGGCCAAGGAGCTTCCACCCGGGGTGGTACCCTCTTCGCTGCTAGGATGTGACATGGCTGCGTGGGGCGGCGATCCCTGCGAGATCGCTCTTCTCCAGCAGATTGTGGCGACAACTGTAGGAACGCTTCGACGAAATTGTTTCTTGATGCCTTTGGTGTGCCTGGGATGGTATGAGTAGTGAGCACAAGAGTAGCAGCTCAAATATCAATGATCCGGAACGAGGAGGTACCGACGGACTGCGCAAAGTTGCACAATCGATGTGGTGAATCAGAGTCTGGAGGTCAAGCAGAAGCGCAAGACGGTGCAAGCAAAAAGGCTGATAGTTCGACTGCAAGTCACGAGTATACGCCTGCTGCACCCTCGCTCCTGGCGTGCTCTCATCAGGCGGCGCGACGTCTTGTCCTCGCGATGAGGCAGGGCCGGTCGGTCATGCACGTACTGTACACGGCGTGCATGGAGCGGCGTGCACGCGCGCTCGCGTATGGGCGCCATCCAACCACTCTCTTGTTCACACTGGCCAAGTGCCTCGAAGTGGCAGTGCACGGACTTTTTGAGTTGCGCCAACCAACCGCGTTGTGGGCGCATGACAGCTTAAACCTGGGACATCATGCTGCACCCTGCTGCCCTCGTGCACGATCTGAGTCACGAGTCACGAGTACCGTACTCAGTCACTTCAAGTCACGACTCACGACTGGTGGTGCATCGGCGGTATGGGGTAATCAAGAAGTGTGAACGAATAATCGTGAATGTGGTAGCACCGCATGCACCGTACTGCAGCCTGATGGTACCATGCCGATCTGAACGATCCACTAGTCGCGAGTGCTGCGCCCATCGTGAGGCTCGTATAGATTCTGAGAATTCTCCTCCTTGTTCGTGATTCGATCGTCATCGACTGACGAGAGCGAACCTGAAGGCGCCGGCGCCGTTATCACGCAAAGAAGCTCTGTTCGGACGTCTCCCAGTATAGTCGTCGACACAATTCAAGAGGGGCGCCGAGCCGCAAGCATCGTAGCGTCAATACCGCGCCTTCAAATCCAACGGTCATCATCACTCTTGACTGCGGCGCTGCCATGATGAGCAGGAGCAGGAGCAGCAGCAGCAGCAGCAATAAGAACAGAAGCTGGCGCGACGCATCGCATCGCAGCTCAGCCCGCCCATCAGCATCACGTACGCGTCTACTGATGTACACTCCAACGGCCGGGGAGTGCGCGCGGTTTTGGCGCAGCGCACAGCAGTCACGAGTGCGCCATGCATGAGCGCCACAGCGCAGAGAAAGGTCGCGGTTGTTAATTATGATGGTGGGACAAGCGTGAAGCTGAATTGTGATTCACGAGTCGTGCGTACAAGCCTCACCAATCACCATGCAATGGCGACTCCCGAGCGTGTACTCATCCACAATCGTGCACAGATTCAGCGGAGTTGCTCGACCGGAACAAGTCAAGCTGCAGATTCGTCGTCGGCATTCAGGCTCCATCAACAAAAATTTGCGTATCGTGAATGACCGAAAGCACTAGAATTCTGGTACCGCGCCAAAGTCCACAGACATTGGCCCCGCGTTGATTGGGAGCTTCTCCGAGCCAGGCACGCTCCAGTGAGATTTAGCCTGCGCAGCGGCGCAGTCACAGATTGATCCACGGCTCCCGAGTCACGCGCGGGAATTCGTGGTCAACAGCAAGGTTGCCTATCTTCATCTACCTTGGACGCGGGCCATTGAGCGGTGCCCTAGAAGATCTTCGGACGTGCGGTAAGACCGCTTCTCCAGTCTGGCAGAGCTCAGGCCCCTCAAGTCGCGCCCACTGCTCTGTCCCGCAGCGACGAAGGCGCGAACGCCGTCATGGCCGGAAGCAGCGCGAAGGTCTCGTCGAAGAATTATTGGATGGCTTACATTGGTCAGAGAGCAGCCTTAAGTCTTGCTGGTCCATCCAAATCTTTCTACTTGGGAAAGCAGAGAGAGCATCGCGTCTTGCCAATTCCGACAAGGCACGGAGATGTCCAGTGCTGGGTGTACGACGCGGCGTCGGGCACGAAGCTGAACCTGCACACCGTTCAGTCTCGTAGCACAGGCGCTCCCATCCACGTCAGCATCCACGGCGGGGGCTGCATCTTGTCGTCACCTTGGGAAGACGACCACATCAACTCTCATTTGGCTGGACTCGGTATGGTAGTGGTTAGCCCGGTCTACTCGTGCGCGCCGCAAAAGCGCTTCCCGGTAGCTGAAGAGGAAGTCTATGATGTCTGCAAGTGGCTGAGCACGAAGAGTGGCGAAGCGTACGGATGGGACAGCAGTCGGATCTCGGTCAGTGGCTTTAGCGCTGGAGGCAAGCTGGCTCTGAACATTGCTCAGCAGGCACATGCGGAGAATAATGAGACTCTGCGACTACGAGCCTTGGCTCCCTACTTTACAATGTTCGACGTGACGCGCTCCAAGCGGCACTCGAAGCACAGTAACATGTTCCCAATCGTGCCCGCGTGGCAGCTGGCTCTTGTGCAAGCAGTATATTTTCCAGACATCGCTTCCCGCTCCACGCCGCTTGCATCTCCTTATCACGATCCGGCTCTTGCCGAAGCCTGTCGAGGCATTCCGCTCCTGATCACGACCGGCGGTCGAGACACTCTTGGGGTCGAAGGCGATGAGGTGGCACATAGACTCGGCGGTGCAGGTGTGGATGTCACGCACAAGTGCTTCGAGGATGCGGATCACGCATACACACACAAAGGCTCCAAGGAGACTGCCCGCGAGTCTATCATCATGCTAGGAGACTTTTTGACCAAGCATCTGAGCCTGGAGTCGTGAGTGCAAGCAGCAATCAGAATAATAATCATCCTGCACACGACGTCAAAGCGCCGGTGGATGCATGGTCCTCGTTTGCGTCGGACAGAAGTCCGAAACCCGCTCGTGACTGATTCACGTGATTGTTCGCGGTCACTAGCCAAGTTTTTGTTTGGATGCCCCGCGGCGCGACAGACACATGAACAGACGTGAAATTTTGGTCGCCCTTGCCTTAGTCCATAGCGTACAGGGACTCGAGTCGTGACCTGACTGTCTAGAAGGGCAAGTGTCGCGAGAGCTTCCTTCGCTGCAGCTTCTGTTGAACGGCTGCGTCGAGTTGCCAACGGTCGCATGCATGCCCTTCGGCGTCATGCGCTACGCAAAAGTTTCTCTCTTATCTTCCAACATCCCGCTCGAAAATCAAGGCTCGTTCATAATTGCTACTTGCTTACGAGTCACGAATCATATCGCAGCTCGCGTCTGCCCAGGCGAGGCGCGAATCCTTAGAATGCGAAGGGAAGCTGGGCCAGGTGAAGGGATCGCAAATTGGTCGCCATTGGTGATGGTGCCGCTAGGGCACTGTCGCGAATACCGGGCTTGGCTGTCCGGCACTTTCGCCTCTCATGACACAAAGATTTCAGGCGGGAGCTGCCCCGTCGCTCAGCCTCGACCGTCCGTGACCGTGAACATACGTGCTGTTCACCCTCATGCGTGATGCCCTTGTCCACCTTCCACCTTTCGCCGAAGGTGATAAGGTCAGATATGTATATGAGGCTGCTCCCCCCGGTCGCGGTGCGGACCGGACTTGCATCCGCACGCACTTCTTCTACTCGGGCGCATCGCCGCTTTTGACCGCCGGGCGATGCACTCCGCTGCGGTGGGTTCATTTGGCCGGCGGGCCATTCTTGATGCCTTGCGGGCTGCGACAGAAGTGTACTTGAGAAGAAGCTTTTGTTGCATTTTCAAAACAGCGAGCCGAGCTTTGCTAGGTTTCTTACACTCGCAAAGTGCTGTGCGGGAGCAGCCGGCGCTTTGCTCGGGCTGCTTTACGATAGGAATGCGTCGCTTGCGTCAGATGGGACTTGAAGAACGCAAGCGCGTCACTCACGACTAGCGCGCCTATGCATCGATCTTAGGATTGTGAGATGCCCCTGCCTGCCAAACTCCGCTCCAGTCTAGCTGCATATTCACTCGCATTCACGATTGTGATTCAAATTCTCACAGCTTGCAGTCAGATTGGCTCTCTCTCTCTCTGGCCTTCGAGTCCACTCGTGGTTGGCGCTGCTCGCCTACCCAGCCGTTGTGAAATGTTGTGCGGCAGGTCCCCTCACAAGACAGGAGGGGTGCACACATGCAGAGAATGACGATTTTGTGCGGGGATCGGTACATCATTTTTGCACTTCCTAAAACGCACATGCATCGTTGAATGAGCAGTCGCGAGTCATCGTGAGTCGTGCACACCAACCACACACAGGTGCCAAAGCAGCAGAGATGACGGCCGAACATCAAATTCAATCACGAATATGCCTGCACTCGCAAGGTAGCTTGGTTATCTCTGCACGATTTCGCGCTAATGCAGGCTTTGCTTGCAGGCCCCACGCGCAATCGCGAATGAAGTCCACGACCGCGAGGTTGACCCGGGCCTGGTGTGCGTTGAGGCTGTACCTACGTAGCCAGTCGTTGAACACTCGAATCTTGCACGAGCACCGAGACTTGCTTAGCTCCATGCTGCCTCACGAAAGCTTGAACAGCAGTCCATCCGTTCCGGTCATCGTTGTTATATAATATATGTGACGCCAGCTCGATGCCAGACTGACTTTTCCCAATCCACCCACCCATCCCCCTTCCCCGCTCCCTTCTTCCCACCTCTTCTCAAGCCAGGCTCTCGTCATTGACGATCCGGTCGCATACACATTCCTTGTCTTCTTTTCAATACTCTGAGCGACCGCACTCAAGATGCGCTTCACCACGTTCACAGCTTTGGCCATCGTGCTTGCCTCTATGGCAGTGGCTGCTCCAGCTCCCAGCGCTATGCGTGTCAAGGAGTCGGTGACCATGCCATCAGGATGGGTGCGCAGAGGCCCAGTCGCTGCCGGCACAGAAATCCCTCTCTCCATCGCTCTGAAGCAGCGCGCCTTTGCCGACCTCGAATCGGAAATCCTTGCAGTCTCCGACCCCAATTCTCCCCGCTACGGCAAATTCTTGTCTCGCGAGCAAGTCTCTTCCTACCTCACACCTAGCGCGGAAAGCGCTGCAGCTGTGCGTCGCTGGCTCGAGGAGCACAGCGTCAAGGAGGACCTCTCGCGCCGCAGCTTCGCGGGCGACTGGGTTCGCGCCACGGTCCCCGTGGAGCGTGCGAGCGCCATGCTTGGAGGTGCCGAATTCGCGGAATTCTTGAACGAGCGCACTGGAGAGGTCGTCGTGCGAGCGCTCGAATACTCTGTACCCGAGAGCGTCTTCGACCATGTCGACCTTGTCGGCCCCACCACCTACTTTGGTAAGCCTTTGGCTCATCGTGCTCCTTCGAGAATCGCCGAATGGCTGCCAGTGGGCTACAAGCCTCACGCAGATGAGACAGTCGTTCATGCCGACAATCGCCTGGCCGTCAATGTTGCTGCTGCCATTCCCCCACCTGCTTGCACCACCACGAATCAGACGACGCTCACGTGCATTCGTCAGTTGTACGGCACAATCGACTACAAGGTCCAAAAGCCTAACTCGCAATTCATTGGCATCAGTGGTTTCTTGGAGGAGTACCCCAACGACAAGGACTTCAACCAATTCTTGAGCACTGAGCGCCCTGACGCTCTTGCAGCCAACTACAAATACCGCCTGACCCAGATCGACGGTGGCGGAAACGACCAGAGCAAGCCAGGTGTCGAAGCCAATCTAGACGTACAGACCGTCGCTGCCATCAGCTTCAACATCCCTTCGACCTACTACTCGAACGGCGGACGCCCTCCTTTCAACCCGGACCAAGCCACTCCAACGAATACCAACGAGCCGTACACCACCGAGTTCGAGTACCTGCTCTCTCAACAGACCATTCCCTCCGTCGTCAGCACTTCGTACGGTGATGACGAACAGACCGTCCCTCGCGATTACGCAGTCCGCGTGTGCGGGTGAGTGCTGCGAGGCCTTGGAACGAAATCAATCGCAAGGGGCAGTGTGAGCTGACAATTGTCATTCCTTTTTTCTAGTGAAATTGCTGGACTGGCGGCACGCGGTGTCTCCATGGTCTTCAGCTCAGGTGATAACGGTGTTGGCTCAGACGGCAACTGCGTGAGCAACGACGGCAAGAAGACTCGCAAGTTCCTCCCCGCATTCCCTGCCTCCTGCCCATACTCGATCACCGTTGGAGGGACAGAAGCCTACGCGCCAGAGGTTGCTGTCTCCTCCAAGATCGGTGGCTTCTTTGCTGGCGGCGGTTTCAGCGAGTACTTTGCAAGACCCGCTTATCAAGACAACGCCGTCAAGGGCTATCTCAAGACTCTTGGCAAGAAGCACGCCGGCCTGTTCAACCCCAACGGCCGCGCGTACCCCGACATTGCCGCTCAAGCTTCTCGCTACCTGATTGTCGTCGGAGGCCGTTACGTGCGTGTAGGCGGCACCAGCGCTTCGGGTCCTACCATCGCCTCCATCATTGCGCTGCTCAATGACGCTCGCGCAGCTGTCGGCAGGCCCAACCTCGGCTGGATAAACCCCCTGCTGTACTACGGTCAACCTGAGCAGGTCCTCACGGACATCACTTCCGGCTCATCTGCTGGATGCGACACTGACGGCTTCCCTGCCGCCAAGGGATGGGACCCTGTGACCGGGTTCGGAACTCCCAACTTCAAGAAGCTCCTCGCCGCCGCGACGGCATGAAGGTGAAGCTCACGCGCGCTCAAAAACCTTACATTTTCGGTAGCCACGCACCCTTCTCCCACTTTATCCTGCGTTTATCGGAAACGAACCAAAGCCATACATCCACGCACTGTTCAGAGCTCAGGGCTCTTTGGCTCTGTCGAACTCAAACCTAGCATTTTCGAATTCATACCGTTTCTCTTTACACCCTGTGCTCCTGCCATGGGCCATGCACACTCCGAAGCTCGAGGGGTCCTAGGTGAACGCGGGTCTGCTAACGCTTTTGGGCTGCCAACAGAAGGAGCTCTCTCCACAAGGAGGGCTCCAGTGCAAAGGGCTGACCGAGCTTTACAGTGTTGACGTCGCGCAGGATCTTGGATCAGCTCTTCTTCTGACTCACTTTGCGAACCAGAGAACCACATTCGTGATTTTATATCAAACGAATCTATCCAGCAAGTGTAGTGTAGTAGTGCAGCTCAGAGTCGAGAATAATTTGAATTGGGCAGCCCTCTTTGCCGAAGTTTTCGCCTCACTTGCGTTGCTTGATCCAGCTGCTGCAGCTGGTCATGCGACCAAGATACGCGCTCGCGCATGCACCCGGCCGTGTTCAGTTCCGCCGACGAACCTCCGACGCTGCACCGCCTTGCCAAATGTTGCCAAGCGTCTGTTATGCGTGTGAGCTTCCGGCAATTTGTCTTGAGCATCGACTCGAGACTGACGACTTGCGCTGCCACAACCGAGAATCTGGTCGAGAGCGCACCGAGTAGTCGTGAGTGGGTTGATTGCGAACGCAAACAAGGCCTGTTTGAGCATGACTTGTAGGCAAGCTCTCGGGCGGTGAGGAGTGCCTGTCGGACATCTTTTATTTTGATCGTGCGACTTGGACTGCGCCACTTGATCGTCTGACTCATTCTCTTTGCTCTTGCTGCTGCTGATGGTCACCTGTTCTTGCACGGCATATTCATGTTCGGTATTTGGGCGAGGCGGGGAAAATCTGCTTGCGCCGTTCCGGCGACTTGGAGCTGCCGTCTCCCGCTCACAATGAAGCAATCACCTTGGCGCTTGGCAAAGAGGGCAGCGTAGATCAGCGCACGATTTGTTCAGTGGCTTTCGCATCATCGGCTTGGATGAGGCGCCGAGTGACTCGCACTATCACTACTGTGGCAGCTGAGGAATGAGAAAGGCACAGAAGGGAGCAGCAGCGAGGCATCGCCGCACCCGGCCGTTGTCCGACCCATGCGCATGCAATCGCGCACGTACGATGCTGCTGCCGGACCCTGTATCCTATCCGGCAAGATCTGCTGCAGCTCTGTATGCAGCTTCCTTGCGACCTACGGCACCAGAACCGCGCGGGCTTTCTCGGCTTAGTCGGCGACTCGCAGCTCGAGGGACCAAAAATGCGTCATCGGTGTTGTTGTTGCATGGTTCTCGTCGTCGTATACAGTCACGAGTCGTGAGTACGTGCCGTTTGCGTGAAATGACCCGCGGGCAGGCAGAATGAGCGACGCGCTCGAGAGCCATGCAAGTTCGGTTGCCCGCTCAAATGTGACTCTATAGTCTCAGTGCCTGAGACCGACCCGGCAGCGAAGTCTGACACCGCATCCGCTTCCTATTCTATGGCCGCGGATGGAAGGTTGCTCGTGGGCTCAGGACTGTACTCTCTGCTGCTTGACTGTAGGAGGCACTTTGGACAGGGGCTGGTGCAGGGGAAATGCGGACGAGTACAGAAAAGGACATGTATGAAGCAGGTACGCAGGCCGTGGCCCCTAGCGTCGGCGGAAGCCTAGCTCGTCTCCACACGAGCAGCAGCCGAGGCGAGGCGGTTTTTTGATCCCAACTGACGAGAGAAGCGCGCAGAACGAGGCTACTGGAGTGTCTTCGTCGATGGTTGCCCCGCATCGAAGTGCATGACATCTCTCCCGCACACCCCCCGGATCTGAGAAGTACAAGAAGCGCGGGGCTCTTTCCGTCCAGCTCCATCGTCTCCACCACCATCGGTGTAGCCCAGCGCTCAATTTTGTCCGAAGCGCTTTCTGGATTCGCTCCTGCCGCACGCATCCTCTCGTTCAACAAAGCCTCGATTTCAGGACGGCGAGACAAGCACGATGGCCATCACTTTCACCGTTGGAGGCTCGCCCATTGGGCTCACCTCCATCTCGGTGGCCCTAGTCGCCAGTGTCGGCGGTTTCCTCTTTGGCTACGACACTGGACAAATCAGCGGTATTCAAGAGATGATTGACTTCAAGGAACGCTTTGCGACCGAAACCATCTTCGACTCGGCGACGATGACGACCGAGCCGGCGTTCAACTCTTGGCTCATTGGACTCATCGTGTCCTTCCTGAGTATCGGAACGTTCTTCGGAGTCTTGATCGGCGCGCCTATTGCGGATAAGCTCGGCAGAAGGCTCGCAATGACGGTGGAGACGGTCGTTTTTAGCGTTGGAGTTCTCATCCAGGTCACTGCGCAGTACGCCTGGTACCAAGTTGCAATCGGTAGGCTCGTCTCGGGTGAGTTCTGCGGCTCCTGAACGCGCAATGTACGAGCGCTTGTGTGTAGGAAGGATCGGAACTTATCGAAGTGCACGCCAAAGCAGCGTGTGGGCATGTCTTTGAGTTGCCGCACGCCATCGAAGAGCTTCGAGTGCCCATGCAGTGGCGACGTCTCGCGCCGCAGTCGTTCGAGGCTCGCGAGCTCGAGTGAAGGAGTCGTACCTGAGTTTCGCTGACTCACTTCTGCCCTGCCAATGTCGTCCGATCCAGGTTTAGGAGTCGGCGCGCTGTCTGCCGCCGTTCCGCTCTATCAATCAGAGGCAATTCCCAGCCAGTTGCGAGGTGCAGGAGTCGCGTGAGTCGCCGCATTACGCTCCAAAGCTCATCACTTGTGACCCGTAGTCAGCATCACTGACATTGCCATGCATGTTGCATCGCAGCACCTACCAATTGGCCATCACATTCGGCATTCTAGTCAGCAACTGCATCAACATCGGTACCAGAAGCATCGAAGGAAGCTGGTCATGGCGGACACCCATCCTGCTCGGCGTGGCCTTTGCTGCCGTCCTCGGTATCGGCATCTGGTTCTTGCCCGAGTCGCCCCGATGGCTGGCTGCCCGTGGTCGACACGACGAAGCTTACGGAGCCGTCGCGCGCGTTCGTGGCGCAACAAGAGAAGATTCGAACCCCTGGGTAGAGGCAGAGTACGCTTCCATCATCACGTACGTGCAAAACGAAGCCAAATTGAAGAAAGCTGGCTGGATCGACTGCTTCCGTCCCCAAAACAAGACGCTATACCGCACCGTCCTTGGCATCGTTCTTCAAGCCGGACAACAGTTGACGGGAGCCAACTACTTCTTCTACTACGGTGCAAACATCTTCAACAGTGCGTGCGGAAAGACTTGCGGAGCGCGCGAGGCGAGGGACTCGGGTATAGCGGCAGGCGATTGCTGACACGCTGCTCTGCTCCCTCTCGCGCAGGTGTCGGCTTGCGTGACAGCTTCGTCACGCAAATTATCTTGGGAGCAGTCAACTTCGTTGCGACTTTCGGGTCTCTATACATTCTAGAGCGCTTTGGTCGACGCATACCTTTGATGGTGGGCGCCATCGGTATGACGGTATGGCTCCTCATCTTTGGTCTTGCAGGACACGTCGGCAATCCTACTGATCCGACCTTCGGCAGTCTCATGATCGCCTCGGCGTGCATCTTCATCGTTTTCTATGCTACCACTTGGGCCCCAGGAATATGGCTTTTCATCGGAGAGTCGTTCGCTTCAGAGACGAGAGCCAAGCAAGCCTCGCTATCTGCGGCATCGAATTGGTTTTGGAACTTTTTGCTGGCCTTCTTCACAAAGCCAATCACGGGAGACATTGACTACGCCTTTGGTTTCGTCTTTGCCGGCGCCAACTTTCTCGGATTCTTCATCGTCTACTTTTTCGTGTATGAGACCAAGGGGCTCACTCTCGAAGAGATCGACGAAATGTACAACGACGACCGTGTCAAGCCGTGGCAGTCGCGCAAGTGGGCTCCTGCGGGAAGAGCTAACCGCTTGGACATTGCAGCTCGTGTCCGAGACGAAAAGACGGACGATGTTCTCAAAGTCGAAGATCCGCAACACGGACATTGGAAGTCGCAGCCAAATTCTGAGGGAGACGAGACGGATACTGCGCGTAAACAACGCGAGGAGCCCATCTCGAAGACGGAGGATGCTTGATCTGCATCAGTCCTCATCTGCGACACTATCAAGACGCCCGCGAGCGATGCTTGTGATCGTCTGAGCTCGCGAGGTAAACTCGACGTATGCTTTTGCTACATCTTATTCGCTGCAAGAATGCAATCCGTTTACTTCAGACCCACACCGTGCTGCATCGTTCACGAGATGCGGTGATGCCATGATGCAAATGTACGGGCGTGACAGGTCAGTGGTGCGGGAAGAAGTCAGATCTTCAATGCGGCCGCTTTCAGGTGCCATTCATTCATTACAAGGGCCGTGCGAGGCGGCAATCTATCTGATCAGGGTGAGACTTTGCTGGACTGACCCCATCTAGCGCCCGATTGGGAGCGAAGTGACGACCTACAAGATGTGCTCCTGCTTCAGTATGCTCAGCAGCGTCTCGAAGTAGGCTTCAGTCTGTAGGCTGCCATCATGGGTGCCCTGCGGCGCGAATATTTTGTGGTCAGTTTCTGTTAGCAAAGGGGCCTCCTGTAGATCTTTCTCATCTCGTATCTGTGGCGCACCTTGTAGCTGTCCAGGTCGACCGTGACGGAGCCGCCTCGGGTCTCGAGCAAGCGTTTAAGATGCTCAGCAGCCTCTGTGGTCTGCCCTACGCTCAAAAGCTCATCCTCTCTAGAATGCAAAAGGTGCACTTTTGGTGCGTTGTGCGTCGGTGCCGCATACGTGCCAGGCATGGCGAGCGTCCAGGATTCGAGCGATGCTGGAAGATAACGCTTTGCGTCTCCTTTTTGCGCGCCATTACCAAACGCTTGCTCCACGAATGAGATGTAATCAGGATAGGCGCGCAGCATGGAAATGATGGAGTATATGCCAGACTGAGCAAGGAGAAGAGCGCAGGCGAGTCAGGTGTTGTGCATGCGCCGACCACAACAAGGTGCCGCTCCTCCGCCCACTCACCACGCCTACCCATGCCCTGATCCGCCTGCGAGCCTGTCTGCCTAGGCTTGGCATGGGCGCAACTGCGTCCGCTTCAGACGTCGTGCTTTTGCTTCCGGCATTCAAGCTCATCGCTGCCACCATGTGCGCTCCGACGCTGTGGCCAACCAGCACAGTTCTCGACGCATCAAAAGTCTTTCGCCATTCCTCTGGTGGATGCTTGGGATCCTCGACGAGCAGAAATTCTACAGCTCTGAACGCATCCTGTGCGTGCGCTGGATGCAATACCTGTCCTCCTGTTGCCGTAGAAAGACGATAATTGACCAGCGCTACAGACACACCACGTTTGGACAGGTAGCGCGCCATGCTGTAGTGATCTGACTTGTCTCCGCTGCGCCAAGCACCTCCATGAATGAAGATCAACAATGGCGGCGGTGGCGGTGCCCCTACCTCGCCTGCCGTGCCATCCACACTGCGACTTGAGCTCGCGCTCGCATGAGCTGGGCTCACTGGCTCGGCAGGGAACAGATCCACCTGTTGCAGCTCGCGAGAATCGGGTCCTGCGTAGGCAAGCGTGAGCGGAGCGAGCTGGAGGCTGCGGCGCTGAAATAGCCTGGCGATGCTGCTCCAGATGTGCATGATGATGACGATGGACTTGACTGTCCCTTGCCCCCGCCCCTTTCCACGACCTCACGTCGATGCTGCCAAAGCTGAGAAGCAGGGATGAGCTCCGACAGGCGAGCTCACTCTGACTGCGATGGACGATGATTCCTTCAGTCGGGAGTCGTGAGTGTGCATGCGACTTGATGGTCTGCGTTGCAAAGTCGAAAATGCGCTTCATCATTATTGTCACTCGCAAAAAGGATGAGCACCAAGGTCGAGGTTCGTGATTCAAAATCTGCACCTTGCGTTCTCTTGCCTGTCGCTCTACCAACTCGCATCGGACTTTATCAAGCCCGCAGCATCTCTTCATCGCTCCACGTCACTACTACTAATCTTGCGAATATCGGGCACAAACGTCGTGCAGCATTCGCACGGCCGGGCTCGCAGCATGCATGCACACAGGGTGGGAGCGACGCGCGCGCTGCACATCTCAAGCGGTGAGCATATCGATTGTGGCGCTTTTGTTGTTGTTTCGGACAGGAGGCGCGGGAGGAAAAAGAGGCAGGCGGCG